GGCCAGACCAGTGCCACTAAGATAAATGTTGTTTTGTCTGTTTTCAGCCTCCTGAGTACCCTTGGGATGAGAGGGACTGGAAGAAATGCATATAGCAGATGACTGGTCAATGGGAGAAGAAAGACATCTGTTAAGGAACACAGACTGCAACTCAGGCTGGAGCAAAAGTTCTTGAATTTGTTGTTCAAGTTGGTAGTAAACAAGTCTACTTTCAGGTATCGTCACTGATGGAAGATCTGGAGGAGGATGTCCTTTCTGATTGACCACTTGTGGTGGTCCGCAGAAATCCCAGCCAAGGGAATCTGCAGTGGCATTCCTTACTCCCAGAAGATGGAACTATCTCGAGGAAACTTTGGTTCTTATGCATAGGTTCCACAAGTGGCTAGCCTCCTGATATAGACGAGTCATTCTTGCACATATCCACACCCTTCCCCACAGCTGTGGTGATAAAACATGGCTGTGGTGTTGTCTGTAAGGACTTGCACCAACTAGTTCCTGATGAAAGACATAAATGTTTCACAGGCCCAATGGATAGCATGGAACTTCACATGTCTATATGCAGAGAGACCTCCTGGGTGACCAGAGCTTGTGCATGAAGTCAACTGAGGCAGACCCCCAGCCTTTGGTAGATGCATCTGTAACCAGAGTTCTAGTTGGTTCTGGAGATAGAACTGGGACACCCTTTGCACATATTACAAGTGTCCAGCCACCAGTTCAGAGACTGAAACACTCATTCAGGTACACAAATGAGCATGACAAAAGGGTGCCTGGTCAAACGAAAAAACAAAATGGAGCAAAGCCTGTCAACAGTGAAGGTGAAGCCTGGTATGCTGAGTTACATATGTGCACAAGGCCATGTGACCCAGTGGTTGTGGACAGGAAAGCACTGCCATCACTGGGTTAGACTTCAGGTTTACAGACTGACTGATTAACTAAAGGCACCCTGAAGGAGCTGGAGTCCATGATGCATCCTCTGACAGAGCTGGTGAGTACTTACATAAGAACAGCCGTACCGGGTCAGACCAAAGGTCCATCTAGCACAGTATCCTGTCTACCAACAGTGGCCAATGCCACTTAGTTTTGTGAGATCTTTTTGAAGTTCTTCACAGTCTGCTTTGGTCTTAACAATCTTGAGCAGTTTAGTATCATCTTCAAACTTTGCCACCTCACTGTTTACCCCTTTCTCCAGATCATTTATGAATAAGTTGAATAGGATTGGTCCGAGGACTGACCCTTGGGGAACACCACTAGTTACCCCTCTCCATTCTGAGAATTTACCATTAATTCCTACCCTTTGTTCCCGGTCTTTTAACCAGTTCTCAATCCAGGAAAGGACCTTCCCTTTTATCCCATGACAGCTTAATTTACGTAAGAGCCTTTGGTGAGGGACCTTGTCAAAGGCTCTCTCGAAATCTAAGTACACTATGTCCACTGGATCCCCCTTGTCCACATGTTTGTTGACCCCTTCAAAGAACTCTAATAGATTAGTAAGACACGATTTCCCTTTACAGAAACCATGTTGACTATTGCTCAACAGTTTATGTTTTTCTATGTGTCTGACAATTTTATTCTTAACTATTGTTTCGACTAATTTGCCCAGTACCGATGTTAGACTTACCGGTCTGTAATTGCCGGAATCACCTCTAGAGCCCTTTTTAAATATTGGCATTACATTAGCTAACTTCCAGTCATTGGGTACAGAAGCCGATTTAAAGGACAGGTTACAAACCTTAGTTAATAGTTCCGCAACTTCACATTTGAGTTCTTTCAGAACTCTTGGGTGAATGCCATCTGGTACCAGTGACTTGTTAATGTTAAGTTTATCAATTAATTCCAAAACCTCCTCTAGTGACACTTCAATCTGTGACAGTTCCTCAGATTTGTCACCTACAAAAGCCGGCTCAGGTTTGGGAATCTCCCTAACATCCTCAGCCGTGAAGACTGAAGCAAAGAATCCATTTAGTTTCTCCGCAATGACTTTATCGTCTTTAAGCGCTCCTTTTGTATCTCGATCATCAAGGGGCCCCACTGGTTGTTTAGCAGGCTTCCTGCTTCTGATGTACTTAAAAAACATTTTGTTATTACCTTTGGAGTTTTTGGCTACCCGTTCTTCAAACTCCTCTTTGGCTTTTCTTATTACATTCTTGCACTTAATTTGGCAGTGTTTATGCTCCTTTCTATTTGCCTCACTAGGATTTGATTTCCACTTTTTAAAGGAAGTCTTTTTATTTCTCACTGCTTCTTTTACATGGTTGTTAAGCCACGGTGGCTCTTTTTTAGTTCTTTTACTGTGTTTCTTAATTTGGGGTATACATTGAAGTTGGGCTTCTATTATGGTGTCTTTAAAAAGCACCCATGCAGCTTGCAGGGATTTCACTTTAGTCACTGTACCTTTTAACTTCTGTTTAACTAACCCCCTCATTTTTGCATAGTTCCCCCTTTTAAAATTAAATGCCACAGTGTTGGGCTGTTGAGATGTTCTTCTCACTACAGGGATGTTGAATGCTATTGTATTATGGTCACTATTTCCAAGCGGTCCTGTTATAGTTACCTTTTGGACCAGCTCCTGCGCTCCACTCAGGACTAAATCTAGAGTTGCCTCTCCCCTTGTAGGTTCCTGTACCAGCTGCTCCATGAAGCAGTCATTTAAAGTATCGAGAAATTTTATCTCTGCATTTCGTCCTGAAGTGAAATGTTCCCAGTCATTATGGGGATAATTGAAATCCCCCACTATTATTGAGTTCTTAATTTTGATAGCCTCTCTAATTTCCCTTAGCATTTCATCATCACTATCACTGTCCTGGTCAGGTGGTCGATAATAGATCCCTAATGTTATATTCTTATTAGAGCATGAAATTTCTATCCATAGAGATTCTATGGAACATGTGGATTCACTTAAGATTTTTACTTCATTTTATTCTACATTTTTTTTTACATATAGGGCCCCCCCCCCCCCCCCCCCGCACGACCTGTTCTGTCCTTCCGATATATTTTGTACCCCGGAATGATTGTGTCCCATTGATTGCTCTCAATCCACCAGGTTTCTGTGATGCCTATTATATCAATATCCTCCTTTATCACAAGGCACTCTAGTTCACTCGTCTTATTATTTAGACTTCTAGCATTTGTGTACAAGCACTTTAAAAACTTGTCACTGTTTATTTGTCTGCCCTTTTCTGATGTGTCAGATTCTTTTTTATGTTAATGTTTATCATCTGATCTGGCCCTTACATTTATGATACCTCAAACCAGTATTGGAAGACTTACTGGAAGGCTTCTTCTGAGAAGATTGAGATTTTGAGCACTTGTCAGCATCAGAAAGCTTCAAGGAGGCCAGTGGCGAAGATGAAAAGCATTATTTTTCACCTGACTTGTGCTTTGAGTTGCTGGTGGCTGGAGGAACATTTCTCATGGATTTAGAATCTGTCACCTCATGTTTGGGATCTGGTTTCAACGCAGGACACATTCCTCTTTCATCAGGTGAACTTCTAGACAAAAATCCCTCTGCTTTTTTGTTCTATACATGCAAAGATTTTCAGAATACACTGGCTAACCAAAGCAAACAGCCACAGAGAACTCCAACTTTCACTGAGAGGAGATGGCAGACAAGGAGAGCTGGGGTACATATGCCACCTAGTGGTACTACTGGCAAAAATCTTCAACTCAGGTGCATTGGGCACACACACACACACACACACACACCTGCAATTTCCAGTTTGCTGCAAGTTCCAGTCTTATTTTATTCCTTTTTGCATCTTCCCATCTTAGTTCTGTCTTACTTCCACCCCTTTGTCCACATACAGCAATAATTTGGAGCAACACATTCAATGTTAATGATGTGCAACTAGTTTTAAATTTTGGCCAGCATTATTTAATGCATGCTAATAATCATTGTTTGGCACTTGAGGTAAATGGAGTGAGATGTTTTGATTTCTAAAAAGTGTTTCTTGTAAGGCAGCTCTGACATACAAGAAGAGTGAAATATTACGTATTAAAGAAGTTCTTTGTGTTAAGTGAGAATTTTAAAACATAATAAACCTCACACACATACAACTCATGTATTATCTTCAAAACTCAATTCTTCCATCAGATAAGCACAGTGCACCTAAGAGGGGCTGACAACAACCTCAACTCTTTATCCACCTGGATTCCTTCATCCTTAATGTTTTGCATGAAAACCACATGCACTTTAACATTTCTGACAACAGATGTCCAAGGATGAATATACTCTGACCCAAAGAAAGCAAATTTAGACTAACCAAGTGCAGCAGGACCTATCCTGGTTTTGAAACTCTTACAATATTAAATGTTGTTTTTGTAGTTGTAGTACATTATGCGCTTCTTGGTAGAACAGGTAGATCTAGATGTAAGACAATTTCTATGATCATCTTAACATCTGTGTAGCTCTCATCAGTATACTCACAGGTTGAAGGGAAGTAGGGGAAGGGAAAATAAGTTGAATACCCCCTTTCCTTTACCACTAATTAGATGAAAAACCTGAAGTTGAAATTCACTAAATCCTTTCATGCTAACCAGGCTTTTCCCACACACACACAGGTGATAAACTGGCTTCATAATCATGTGGTAGGTTTCAGGTGACTTGCATTAGTACATCCTATGTATTGAAATCAATAAAATAAAGACAACTGGCCAATGAAAGCGATTGATGCTTTATTGCAAGTTGAATGGTCAACTGAAATAAGCAGATAGGAAACAGCTTAGTTTAATTCTGAGACTTGAAAAGTATTCATTAATGAAATTAATAAATTTGTTAGTCTCTAAGGTGCCACAAGTACTCCTGTTCTTTTTACGGATACAAACTAACACGGCTGCTACTTTGAAACCTGTTATTAATGAAATAATTAGCCCTGTTTTCCCAGGAATATGTTAATGTAATACTGGTTGATGGCGGAAAGCACATGAGGAAATGTGATATAAATGTAAGTTTTCAATGCAAGTAATTAAAAAGAGACACTATATTTTGAATGCAAGTGACTTACCTTCACAGGACTCCAATATATGGACCACATCACCAATCTGCAGGGGTAACTGTGATTCTCCTGCACCTTTAAAGTTGTATATGGCTGCAAAATTAAAGGACAAAGTATTCAATGATTCAAGCAGAGCAAGTCATACTTTTCAATTAAATAGAAAAGTAAGCTATGGGTGATGTTAAGATTTTGACTCCACAATGAATAGACTAGGGAGAACAAGACAAATTATAAATAGTATGATGGGGCTATGATTTCAGCAAACAAGTTTCTTCTTTTCTTATCTAACCTAAACACTACCTGAAAAAAGGCAAAAAGAAGCTATGCATTGCTGGTAGTCAAAAGAGGATTGTGTATACATTTTCAAAAGATCATCATCATCACTAGGAATTTAAAGATAATGTTGTGGGAAATACTGTGGTGGTCACTGCCCAAATTCAGCCAAGCATTTAAGAACATGCTTAACTTTAATTACTTGTTTTAGTGTTTGCTGAATCAGGGCTTGTATTTTCCCATTATACATAGTTGTTAAAGCAAAACATGCAATGTATTGAGCGGTTTAGGTCAGGGTTTTATCCAGAGTTTATTTTGCGCATGCATTAGGGTCCCTACTATGATCCAAACATTCACTCTAAATATATGCACACATTGAACACTTATGCATGCATATAAGTCTAAATAGCTATTATATATGCACAATTGAAGTTCATGTCCAACAATAGAAAAAAATGCCTGCGGACTATGATTTTATTAATTCAGCCAGCTAAAAATGTTCCTAAGGTAAAGAGTTCAATCTTAAAGCAAAATCATGCTTAATACAGAGAAAACGGAAAAAGTCTAGTTGTACTGTTTTTAGGACATTTGAATTGCCACAAAAATACTAGATGCTAACAATCTTGCTAACCAAAAGCAAGTAATTCAAATGTGGTTTAAAAGCACAGAAATGAAGATGAGAAGTGGAACAGGTTTCAAGAACATTGTAACAGGCTTTTTCAAACAGTTGTTCATTATCTTTGAGGCCTACAGGATGTGGGCTGGCAGGGTAAGTGTTTGGCTTTTTGTGTATGCAGTCTCCTAGGGGCTGGATGATAGAGGCACATGCTACATAGCGAGAGTGTGGCTAATTAATAAACATCCCACAGAGATCTTATGTTAAATGTCTGTAGGGCTGAAACCTTTGTTGTATCAAAAGTAACTTCAATGCAGATATCTATTGCAGAATCTCTGATCTACACATTACTCAATGGTCTTTTTTTTTAGTTCCATTCTCTTCTCCTCCCAGAACATCCCTATTCACACCCCACCCCCACACCCCAACCCACCCAAAAAAAAAAAAACAAAAAAAAAACCCCACAGAGTACATCAAACCCACAAATTTGCAGTGTCTGTAGTTGAAATGAGCATGGTCCAGAAGCACAGCTTCTCTTCAGCACACGTAACTGCCTTTCTGTCCCATTTTGCTCCCCTTTGCACTCATGCAGCAGAAAGGCACCTGTGGCCTACTGTTAAGGACCATGAATTCAAGTAAATAAGCTATATCTTAAATATATATTGCTGAGATCAACTTTGCCTTTCATAAGGATATCAAGTTGCAATGGTGTAGCTGACAGCAGAATACTGTCCATCATACTCCTTTGAAAAAGAAACTCCATTTTATTCTTTTAAAGTTCTTATCTCCTGTGGTCCAAATTCTTCCTTTCATTTGGCCTTCTGTTCTGTTAATACTTTATTGACCTCCTTGCTCATGTTTTCATCGTCTAGTGCAGCAACCGTCAAACTGTGGGTCAAGACCCCAAAGTGGGTCACGACCCTGTTTTAATGGGGTCACCAGGGCTGGCATTAGACTTGCTCAGCCCAGGGACAAAGCCCAAGCCCCACCGCCTGGGGATGAAGCCGAAGCCTGAGGGTTCCAGCCCTGGGTGGCAGGGCTCAGATTACAGGCCTCCCTGTCTGGGACTGAAACCCTTGGGCTATGACTTCAGCCCCACTGCCCGGGACGGTGGGATTCAGGCTTTACCCCGCCCTCCTGGGGTAATGTAGTAATTTATGTTGTCAGAAGGGGGTTGCAGTGCAATGAAGTGTGAGAACCCTTGGGCTAGTGCTATTGTGTTGCTTTCAGTATGGTGCACCCAATAATTACTTTTTGAAATCTTTCCATTCCCCTCAGTGTCCCCTGCCATCACCTGAAACACTTCTCTCCCTGAAAGTTTATCCCATAGTTCTACCCATATTTTTTCAAGATCTGTGGACTTGCCACATTCCCTTACTCTTAATGTTAAAGGCATTTTCCCTGACTTTTGATTTATCTAGTGTCATTGATTTGTAGGTGGTATTCCCCTATATTTCCAGCCTAAAAACGAAACTGAATTTCCTTCCCCAAATGGCTTAAGACCTACTACTTTCTCTTAGAATGATTTATAGTAATGTGCATTTAATACTATGTTATTTAACATTTGTTTGAAGTGATACAATATTGTGTAAGCAAAAAGTGTGTTATATTTCTAAGCTTTAAGTAAACAGAGTTCATCCTACTATAAAAGGGTGTACTTGCCCTTTAGCACCCCCTGCTGGCCACCTGCAGTGTCCTGCCAGAGTTTCCTTCTGTCCGGGCCCCTTAAGAACTCCATACAGTGCAAAGGTAAAGATACAATTCCCCTGTTGGGGTTGTATTCTATTAAATCCAAATAAACTTGATATAAAGTCTCTTCCAGCTCCACACTCAAAATAAAGTCTCCCTGGCCTGTAGTCTCTCCCCTCAGGTTCAGGGCTTGTACAGACCTCCTTCTGGGCTCTCAGTAATTCCAGCAGCTTCCCTCAGGAACCCTTCCTGCAGCTCTCCATGTAGTTCTTTCCCTTACCTTCCTGGGCTGAGAGAGGTCCAGAGATAGTCCTTTCCCCTGCCCGTCTCCTCCATCCTGAATATATACAGCCTTCTTCCCAGTGCTTTTTCCAGTTGGCTGGGAGAGGGGGCAGCCTTGCCTCATCAGCTCTACAAGGCCCCTGATTCCAGGCCCTAAAGAAACAGGCTGGGTTTTCACTAAGTTTTCACTGTTCCCCAGTGCCATCTTCCTTCTCCCAACTCCTAGCTCTCCCTTCTTCTAGGTCTTCATCCACCCTAAAAATTCCCAGGAGTAAAAGGGATGCACCATGGAACAGATGTCACCTGGCCACTAGTCCTTACTACCTGTAAGTGGGCAGTCACAGTGTTGCACATACATTTTGGGTGGCGGTGGGAAGTTTATAAGCCATTTTTCACTAGCCACTCTGTAAACACACTAAGTATATCATGCCAAGAAAACAGAGTATAGGAGTATAAAATCTATCTGTGCAAGGCTTCCAACTGGATCATGCACACCTTACACAAGCACTACAACTTAAGAGACTATACCCAAGCTGTCAGAGCTTAGTAACAACTCCAAAACTAAGAGCTACTCAAGAATTTGCTAGGATTGCTAGAGATCCACTACCACCACCCTGCACATAAAAGCTTTTGTTAGGAGTATCTGAGCAAAGCAACATAATTCAGTGTGCACTGAGACAGCCTGTGACAATGCATGTCATATTGGCCTATGTTTTACTTTACTGTAACCATTTTATGGGGGTGATGAGGCAATTTGTCTTTCAAGGAGAACTATTGTCTCTCACGTGGCTTTTCTGCATGTCTGTAATTAAATATAAAACTTGAAAGCAATTAGAATAATAGAATCAGGACTGGAAGGGACCTTGAGAGGTCATCTAGTCCAGTCCCCTGCACTTATGGCAGGACTAAGTATTATCTAAATCTCTGATAGGTGTTTGTCTAGCCTACTCTTAAAAATCTCCAAGGATGGAGATTCCACAACCTCCCTAGGAAATTGATTCCATCATTTAGCCACCCTGACAGTTAAGAAGTTTTTCCTAATGTCTAACCTAAACCTCCCTTTCTGCAATTTAAGCCCATTGCTTCTTGTCCTATCCTCCCTCCTCCTTATAACAACCTTTTACGTACTTGAAAACTGTTATGTCCCCTCTCAGTCTTCTCTTTTCCAGACTAAACAAACCCAATTTTTTCAATCTTCCTTCATAGGTCATGTTTTCTAGATCTTTATCATTTTTGTTGCTCTTCTCTGGACTTTCTCCAATTTGTCCACATCTTTCCTGAAATGTGGCACTCAGAACTGGAGACAATACTCCAGTTGAGGCCTAATCAGCATGGAGTAGAGCGGAAGAATTACTTCTTGTGTCTTGCTTACAACACTCCTGCTAATACATCCCAGAATGATGTTCGCTTTTTTTGCAACGGTGTTACACTGTTGACTAATATTTAGCTTATGGTCCACTATGACCCCCAGATCCCTTTCCGCAGTACTCTTTTCAAGGCAGTAATTTCCCATTTTTTGTGTGCACAAATGATTGTTCCTTCCTAAATGGAATACTTTGCATTTGTCCTTATTAAATTTCATCCTATTTACTTCAGACCATTTCTCTAGTTTGTCCAGATCATTTTGAATTATAATCCTATCCTCCAAAGCACTTGCAACCCCTCCCAGCATGGTATCATCTGCAAACTTTATAAGTGTACTCTCTATACCATTATCTAAATTATTAATGAAGATATTGAATGGAACCGGACCCTGTGCGACCCTATTCGTTATGCCCTTCCAGCATGACTGTGAACCACTGATAACTCTCTGGGAATGGTTTTCCAACCAGTTATGCACCTATCTTATAGTAGCTCCATCTAGACTGCATTTCCCTAATTTGTTTATGAGAAGGTCATGAAAGACAGTATCAAAAGCTTTACTAAAGTCAAGGTATACCAAATCTACCGCTTCCCCGCATCCACAAGGCTTTTTACCCTGTCAAAGAAAGCTATCAGGTTGGTTTGACAAGATTTGTTCTTGACAAATCCAAGCTGTTACTTATCACCTTATTATCTTCTAGATGTTTGCAAATTGATTGCTTAATTATTTGCTCCATCATCTCTCCAGGTACAGAAGTTAAGCTGACTAGTCTGTAATTCCCAAGGTTCTCCTTATTTCCCTTTATATAGATGGACACTATATTTGCCCTTTTCCAGTCTTCTGGAATCTCTCCCATCTTCCATGACTTTTCAAAGATAATCGCTAATGGCTCAGATATCTCCTCAGTCAGCTCCTTGAGTACTCTAGGATGCATTTCATCAGGCCCTGGTGACCTGAAGACATCTAACTTGTCTAAGTAATTTTTAATTTGTTTTTTCTCTACGCCAATATAACGCTGTCCTCAGGAGCCAAAAAATCGTACCGCGTTATAGGTGAAACCGCGTTATATCGAACTTGCTTTGATCCACCGGAGTGCACAGCCCCGCCCCCCCGGAGCACTGCTTTACTGCGTTATATCCGAATTCGTGTTATGTCGGGGTAGAGGTGTAGCTTAGCCTCTGATCCTACCTCATTTTCACTGGCATTCACCATGTTAGACGTCCAATCACCACCAAC